ATTCTTTCACCTGAAAATGTTAAGAAACAATTTAAGTGGGCTTATTTAAATGATACTTTTATTGAGCATTTGTAATAGTACACTGGAAATAAAATATTAAAACCATAAATGTATAAAAACCTAACGTTACAGATAATTTTCTTCTTGCTTTGCTTTTTCTAACCAGCATGGGATGAACTAACTTTCACAATCAGCCTGCGAATTTCTACAATCCCAGGCCACTAAAGATAGTCCAGGATTATCTGGCTAGTGTTTACAACTTTTGCCTTCAATTTCCTATTGTCTCTCAGCTTCCTCCCATATTTTCCTCTTGAACAAAAATTCTTACTGTTGATTATATTTAGGCTGACTATGTGTATAATTTATTTTCCAATCCAGGATACTCTAGGTAAAGACAGAATATGTTTTTAATACTTAAGCCAGGACAACAGGCAAACTGGGACCATTCTGGGTAAACCAGAGCATATGGTTTTGCCAGCATCTTGTAAAGTTATCAGACTTCCAGTAACATAACCGACAGTGGTATATACTTAGATGAATGGTTGCACAGACGGGTAGAAGAGAGTGGATGGCAATTTGGCTTCATCCAGTTGGATTTCCTTTCTAATTTCTCAAGTCGGTGTTACATATTTTATTGGCATAACATTACCCCACTTCCAGAGATACACAATGAAAAATCCATCTTGAGGAAGGTGTGGTAGAAAGGAAAGACCAGTTGAGTTAAATAGAAAATGTAGTAGTTTATCGCCACTTGCTTCTTTTTGCTCAGTGGTAAAATTAATGGGTTGAATTCCTTGGTCATTTTGATCTCTAAAATGCGTGCATCTAGGAAAGCCCAGGAGTAAATAGAAAATTTTATTCATTTCTAATTTAAAAATGAAAGCTTCAAAAGAAAGTTTATGATCTAGAGCAGTAGAGGGCAGAGTATGGACCGCAAAATTTGGCCCATTGCCTAATCCTGTATGGCACTCAAGCTGGGAATGGCGGTTATGGGCAAACTTTGATGACAGAGAGCACTAAATTTGAGCCCTAGTTAAGTAAATTTGAGCCCTAGTTAAGTAAATTTGATACCTCAACAAGAATCCCATTCTTCTCATTATTAGTTTGGTTTTCCATTAGTAGATTATTATTATAAAACAATTTATATTCTATCATTATGTTTTGAATTCCATCAACAAACAGTGTTTGAAAATTTCTTTCACTGCACGAGTTTGATTTTGCCTCTTGACCTGCAAAGCCTAAAATATTTACTGTCTGGTTCTTTACAGGAAAAGTTTGCTAACCCCTGATCTATTGACTTCTGGTATCAGTTTTGTTTCATTCAAACAATACACACACACACATCAATTTCAAGACATGACTTACTATTAATCTCCTTTGCCCTGTCACTGTTTAAATTCAGGTGTGCCCCTGGCTATACCGGCAGCCCAAGCAGCCCCGGAGGCTCCTGCCAAGAATGTGAGTGTGACCCCCATGGCTCACTGCCTGTCCCCTGTGACCCTGTCACAGGGATCTGCACGTGCCGACCCGGAGCCACGGGGCAGAAGTGTGACGGCTGCAAACACTGGCATGCGCGCGAGGGCATGGAGTGTGTTTGTACGTATACTAACTTAGCTATTAGTTCTGGGGGACTTGGTTCCATTTCTATCTCATTTCCAATGGGAAAGAGGGACTTTTTTTTTCTTATTCTGCAATAGCCAGTGTTACTCTTCATTCTCTCTGACACTATCTATCCACCTTCTTCTGTTTGCCTGCTGTTTTTGTCTCCATCCTGCTAAGCCAAGAACAGCTGAGAAAATCCTCATCATGCTTTAGTCAGTTCATTGAAGACCTACAGCAAAACTCCCGGAGGCAGATTTTATTTTATTTTGCCCATCTCAGAGTTTGCAGTTTTACCTAAAGCTGACATTGCCTTTGTGACAGATTAAAGGTCTGGGTTTATTAAATTTTTTTAGAATCCTCCTGAATTTGTAATCAGCTGGACAGACACTGTAAGGCTTGAATTACAACTGACTTTTCTTTTCCGAGTTTTTACAGAAATCCATGGGCATCCTGCTTCGTAACTTTCTCTTGCCCTACAGAACCTGGAAGCAGTGACAATGAACTCAAGTGTTTTTACTCATATGTTTTGTTTTGTTTTAATAACTGCTTCTGGATTCAGTAATGCCATACTGAACGCACATCGAATATCAGTAGTTAAATAGAATTCTTGGATCTTATATAAATTCTAATCTAAAACAGTTATTTATAAATTTAGAGAGGCCAGTTATATTATGGTGTTCTTTTCCTTGAGGGAATTTACATTAGTGGTCTTAATTCTTTCTAACAAATAGAAATGGAAATTATTTAAGTATCTTTTATTTCAATATTTATTTATTTTAATGTATTTACACATGCCAGTATTTCTGGTTTTAACATCTTATGTGTGTCTGAAGCTTAACACTTTAACTAGAATTTTTATTTGTGCTCTAGTTTGATGAGTTACCTCAAAAGCTAAGGCTGGCTTTTTAGATATGCCAAAAGGTAAAGACTGGGTATGTTTGGGAATATAACTTTTTAAACTTTTTTTCTATGTATTTCAACAATCTTTGATGAAAGTGTATTGCATTTAAAATAAAAGTAAGTGTCAAGGTTGACGGGAGGGGAGAGTTGAAGTGTAATATGTAATATACATTTACGTTATCGTATTCAGTTATTGGTGTATACATATTCACTCTTCTCAAGTTAAATGGCATATTTTAATGGTAATTGAAATGGACTTCCAATGTAATCCAACTAGTTTTAATATTATTAAAACTAAATTATTAATATGGAAATATTTAACTAAATAATATATAGATATTCCTAACCTAAATGCTAATCTAACGGACCTTGAACTTTAAAGTAATTAATTTTCTAGAGGTGAGATCAGAAAAGTCTGATCTCTTTTTCTATGAGTTTGTTGGCTTCTTTGCTTTCTACCCTGTTCCATTAATCTATATGTGTATTTTTGTGCCAGTACCATACTGTTTTGATAACTGTAGCTTTGTAGTAGGGTCTGAAGTCAAGGAGCCTGATTCCTCCAGCTCTGCTCTTCTTTCTCAAGGTTGTTTTGGCTCTTTCATGTATTTTGTTTTTCCATACAAATTTTAGAATCATTTGTTCTAGTTCTGTGGAAAATGCCATTGTATTCTGATAGAGATTGGATCAAATCTGTAGATTGCTTTAGGTAGTATGGTCATTTAAACAATACTTACTCTTCCAATCCATAAGCACGGTATATCCTTCCATTTGTTTGTGTTGTCTTCAATTTCTTTAACAAGTGTCTTACAGTTTTACAAGTATAGGTCTTTTACCTCCTTAGTTAGATTTATACCTAGGTATTTTATTCTTTTTGATGCAATTGTAAGTGGGATTGTTTTCTTAATTTCTCTTTCTGATAGTTTGTTGTTAGTATATAAAAATACGATAGATTTCTGTATATTAATTTTGTGTCCTGCCACTTTACTGAATTCAATGATGAATTCAAATAGTTTTGGGGCAGTGCCTTTAGGGTTTTCTATATATAGCATCATGTCATCTGCAGACAGTGACAGTTTTACTTCTTCTTTTCCTTCTATCTTTCTATATCCTTAAGCTAACTTAGAGCAAGAAACCAAAGAATGGATTGACCCAGCACATTTGATCTGCAGGGCCTGTTTTGTCACGTGTGCCTATAGTAGAATTTTATAATGCTCGTGAGTGGGAGTGGATGAAAGTAGCCTGGTTCTGGCAAGAGAATATTTATATAGTAAGAGAAATGTCTTCTGAGAAAAGCTTCTTTGGAGCCTGGAGCATGTATTGTACAGTTAATTCTTCTCTCTTTGGTTCATTCTCTAGAAAACACAGTTTAATTTGGCCTACATCATAGGTATGTACACCCCCCAAAAAATGTAGGATAAATGACGTTGGCATGATCATTGCAGTATCTCAGGTGAGCTGCACATTGGTGGAAGGAGTCTCCCTGTATAGTTAGTTTATGCTCTTAATTTATTTAACAAATAATTTTAAATTGTGCTGTAGAGGACACAGAGAAAATGCAGAAAGCATGAAAGAACTTTTCTTGACCACCTACATTTCTAAAAGAAACTAATAGCTGCCACGGACAATTGCCAGAGAGCAAGCTAGGGTTTTATTGGATCCAAAATAGTGAGTTTCTTTGCAGGACACAGGCTTTTTATACATAGGCATTCCATTACTATCATAAAGAATTTACACAAATAGTGTGTGCCCTTAGTAGGAAATATTTAGATATAAGAGTCTCTTATAGTTAGCCAAATTCAACCCACCAACGTTATCAACCCCGCCAAACCAACTCAGTGCCTGGGCACACCTGACCAACGTATCTGCTTTCAATCCCAGGCATCCCCTACAGCCCCTTCCGCCACACAGGATTCATCACAGTAGTAATTCTTTAAAGGTTCACCCGTGTTGAGAGCCTTCCATTTGTCAGAAATGATGTTAAGCGCTTTATATGCTGTTCTTTTCATTCTTGCCACGTCCCCATACATTATTATGTCCACAGTGTGATTTAAAAAAAAAAAACAAAAACTGAAATCAACTATACCCCAACAAAAATTTTTACATTTTAAATAAATAAATAAATAAAACTGAATTTAGGTGATTTAAGTCACCTTTCCAAGGTTCACCCTGACTTTTCAACAGAGTTGTGATTTAAACCTAGATCTGTCTTGAAAATCTTACTTTCTTAACCTCTATGCTGACTGTTAATGCAAGGCACAAAAAGCAAACATGGTTTTCCCAATATATTCAACATTAATTATTTCAGTTCTTAATTCATTTACTTCTTCTGGGCTTAGAGCCCATCTTACCTCTATGAAGAAGAAAGATAAAATGGGCTTAAAAAAATGAAAAACTTTTAATGTGTATAATGTCAGTAGGTACATACTTTTTTTTCCCCTCTGCTGACCATTAAGACTCTTTCCTCTAAGTTTTGAAACATTATGGTAGTTATCAGGAGTTCCCTGGTGGTCTAATGGTTAGGATTCAGAACTTTCACTGCCGTGGCCCAGGTTCAATCCCTGGTCGGGGAACTGAGATCCCATGAGCCACATGGTGCGGCCAAAAAAACCAAAAAAAACGTTATGGTAGTTATGATAGATTCTTATTCATCAGAGATGGTCAAGTGGAGTCCTGTCCTCTGTGCAGATGAGAAGACACACTAACTGGGTGCTCAGATTTCCTCCAAAGCCTTTTCATTTTTTTCTTGTGGGGATAATTGGAGAGAGCTCTGCAATGCATTCTTTCTTTACAGATGTTGATGAGTTCTGAGTAGATATTTTATTGGATTTCCCAAATCAGGATTTCTTACTAAGTTAGGTTAATACAAATCCAACTTCTTCTTTCAACCCTCATTCATAATTTACACGTCATTTTATAAAGTGAGAACAACCACCTGCCTTTCTGAAATCTGAGACCCGGCAAGAAAAGCATTATTTATTTAATAGTAAAGTTTTGTATTGGGAAACGCAAAACTTGGATTTTTTCATGTCCTATTTTCTACACACTAGTAATTAACACTGAACAATTTGTACAATGTTTAAAATAGATTATGAGTGGCATAGTAAAATATATTATTCTCCTAAAGAACAGAATTTAAAATTAGTAGCTGTTGGCAGGATGTCATTCTGTAAAGAGTGCCTGAAATATCATTTTATAAATATCATATTGGTGCTTTCTATTTTTATTCAAAGCATATGAAATATTAGGTATATATCAGCTTTATTATTTATAGTCACAATTTATCTAAAATATAACTTTTAGAAGGTGCTTTGCTTGCTAATGTTGCAAAAGCAATCATAAACTGTGCTTTTTTTTACCTGTAACCTAAGGTAAGCCTAACTAAATGTGGTAATGCACTAACTCTGTAAAATGTGCACTTTCTAGACACTTGATAAAACCCAAGGTTTGAAGTTTTACCCTGACTTGATACTGACCTGCAGAGACACAGTCTAGATTGTTGTTTTTATTTTTATTTTTTTAATTTTATTGAACCCTAGTTGATTTACAGTGTCTTGTTAGTTTCAGGTATACAGCACAGTGATTCCATTTTATATATGTATATTGTTTTCAGATTTTTTTTTCCCTTATAGGTTATTACAAAATACTGATTATAGTTCCCTGTGCTATACAGTAGGTCCTTGTTAGTTATCTATTTTATAAAGATTATTGTTTTCAATAGCCAGTTGCCAACAAGTATCTATCACAATAATGCAGAGGCCCTTATGTATTATCACTAGAACCCTGCAGTACTCTTATAATCAAAGATGATTACTAATGGCAGTTATTGTCCCCTATATATGAGAGCAGGAACAAAATAGTGGAATGTGGTTGATTACTGTAAAGAAAATGGGACTTTCTATAACAAAAGATGATGAAAAACATCAGTTGACCTCCATTTGCTATGTAATGAGTGAGGCTCTGTTGGACATGTGATCACACTCCATCCTAACCTCTTTTTTCTTGTTTGTTTTTGTTTCTGTTTTTGCGGTACGCGGGTCTCTCACTGTTGTGGCCTCTCCCATTGTGGAGCACAGGCTCCGGACGCGCAGGCTTAGCGGCCATGGCTCATGGGCCCAGCCGCTCCGCGGCATGTGGGATCTTCCCGGACCGGGGCACGAACCCGTGTCCCCTGCATCAGCAGGCGGACTCTCAACCACTGCACCACCAGGGAAGCCCCATCCTAACCTTTTAAACACCATCCTCTCTCTGTCCCCATTTAATCCCCAAGTACTAGTTCCTATTCAAAGCCCAGTATGGCTGTTATAGTTTTCTACAACTCTAAACTGGGTCATGTTGTTCAAATCCAGGCATCAGGGTAGCTATAAAAGTAAATTCTGTTCACCCTCCTCACACCTTTTTCACATCTATTTTCTTAGTGAAAGATGCTTTGAGTTTCTTGTTGGCAACGTTCTCGGCCTTGGTCCAGGCTAGCAATGCTGTAGAACAGCAACTATCACTCTGATTCCAGGTAATTTTCTTATTGGCCATCAGTCTCAGTGGTTTGTATATCACATTGAGAAAGCCGTTCCATTAATAGATTAAGGACTTGTGCTGTTGAGCTGTTGTGTAGAAGAGGCTGATCACTATTTCTTTTCTTTTCAGTCAGGCTTTATTTTGAGAGTAAACTCTACTTGATGGCAATTTGCACTCTGCAGAATCCAGGGAGTTTATTAACCTTGAAGAAAAATAGATCACATCATCTTAAACTTGGAAGTCTTATAAATGAGGTAGTCTAATCATCTTCTATTCGGTGGTGTCCTTGAAACAGACCATCTCCTAATGCAAGGAAGCATATGCTATAGTGAAGGGGCTATAGAAGCTTTGAATTCTGGCTGTGGCCACATAAAAGTTGTGTGACATTCGATTAGCTAACTTTTCTAAACCGCATTTTATTATCCATAAAGTGGAAATAAAGTCCTATGTACATTAGGTGGTGTCTAAGCATAATAGATGTTCAATAAATTTTAGCTGTTCTTATCATCATGGTTATTATTTGATCAGTTTTTTCAAAAGCATGATGCTTTGTGCAGCTCCTCAGTTTTTGTTTTTGTTTCTAATTTAGGCAAGTTACAGTTTATTATTGATTCAGAAACTTCTAGTTTAATGACTCTAACTTGTGATTACCCTCGGCTTCACCAGTAATAAGATTATCTTAATGCTTATTTAATTTTAATATTTTAACATTTTTATTTTTTATTTTTTTTATTTTTTTTTTGCGGTATGCGGGCCTCTCACTGTTGTGGCCTCTCACGTTGAGGAGCACAGGCTCTGGACGCGCAGGCTCAGCGGCCATGGCTCACGCGCCCAGCCGCTCCGTGGCATGCGGGATCCTCCCGGACCGGGGCACGAACCCGTGTCCCCTGCATCGGCAGGCGGACTCTCAACCACTGCGCCACCAGGGAAGCCCCATAACATTTTTATTTCTTAAATTCGAAATTCTGAACATGGACGTAATTTTACTGAGCCAAATCTATTTAGACAAGTATATTTCCTTTCCAAATTGAAGTTAAGAACTGACTAGAAAAAAAAGAGGCAAAGTATAACAGTAAAATTTTTACACATAGATATGATTAAGACTAAATTCATAAATTTTTTTATTACATCTTTATTGGAGTATAATTGCTTTATAATGGTGTGTTACTTGTTGCTTTATAACAAAGTGAATCAGGTATACATGTACATATGTTCCCATATCTCTTCCCTCTTGCATCTCCCTCCCTCCCACCCTCCCTATCCCACCCCTCTAGGTGGTCACAAAGCACCTAGCTGATCTCCCTGTGCTATGCGGCTGCTTCCCACTAGCTATCCACTTTACGTTTGGTAATGTATATATGTCCATGCCACTCTCTCACTCTGTCCCAGCTTACCCTTCCCCCTCCCCATGTCCTCAAGTCCATTCTCTAGTAGGTCTGTGTCTTTATTCCTGTCTTACACCTACGTTCTTCATGACACTTTTTTTCTTAGATTCCATATATATGTGTGTTAGCATACGGTGTTTGTCTTTCGCTTTCTGACTTACTTCACTCTGTATGACAGACTCTAGGTCCATCCACCTCATTACAAATAACTCAATTTCGTGTCTTTTTATGGCTGAGTAATATTCCATTGTATATATGTGCCACATCTTCTTTATCCATTCATCCGATGATGGACACGTAGGTTGTTTCCATCTCCTAGCTATTGTAAATAGAGCTGCAATGAACATTTTGGTACATGACTCTTTTTGAATTATGGTTTTCTCAGGGTATATGCCCAGTAGTGGGATTGCTGGGTCATATAGTAGTTCTATTTGTAGTTTGGTTTTTTTTTTTTAACATCTTTATTGGGGTATAATTGCTTTACAATGGTGTGTTAGTTTCTGCTTTATAACAAAGTGAATCAGTTATACATATACATATGTTCCCATATCTCTTCCCTCTTGCGTCTCCCTCCCTCCCACCCTCCCTATCCCACCCCTCCAGGCGGTCACAAAGCACAGAGCCGATATCCCTGTGCCATGCAGCTGCTTTCCACTAGCTACCTACCTTACGTTTGTTAGTGTATAAAGACACAGACCTACTGGAGAATGGACTTGAGGATATGGGGAGGGGGAAGGGTGAGCTGTGACAGGGCGAGAGAGAGGCATGGACATATATTTGTAGTTTTTTAAGGAACCTCCATACTGTTCTCCATAGTGGCTGTACCAATTCACATTCCCACCATCAGTGCAAGAGTGTTCCCTTTTCTCCACACCCTCTCCAGCATTTATTGTTTCTAGATTTTTTGATGATGGCCATTCTGACTGCTGTGAGATGATATCTCATTGTAGTTTTGATTTGCATTTCTCTAATGATTAATGATGTTGAGCATTCTTTCATGTGTTTGTTGGCAATCTGTATATCTTCTTTGGAGAAATGTCTATTTAGTTCTTCTGCCCATTTTTGGATTGGGTTGTTTGTTTTTTTGTTATTGAGCTGCATGAGTTGCTTCTATGTTTCGGAGATAATCCTTTGTCAGTTGCTTCATTTGCAACTATTTTCTCCCATTCTGTCTTTGGTCGTGTTTATGGTTTCCTTTGCTGTGCAAAAGCTTTTAAGTTTCATTAGGTCCCATTTGTTTATTTTCGTTTTTATTTCCATTTCTCTAGGAGGTGGGTCAAAAAGGATCTTGCTGTGATTTATGTCATAGAGTGTTCTGCCTATGTTTTCCTCTAACAGTTTTATAGTTTCTGGCCTTACATTTAGGTCTTTAATACATTTTGAGCTTATTTTTGTGTGTGGTGTTAGGGAGTGTTCTAATCTCATACTCTTACATGTACCTGTCCAGTTTTCCCAGCACCACTTATTGAAGAGGCTCTCCTTTCTCCACTGTACATTCCTGCCTCCTTTATCAAAGACAAGGTGACCATATGTGCATGGGTTTATCTCTGGGCTTTCTATCCTGTTCCATTGATCTATCTTTCTGTTTTTGTGCCAGGACCATACTGTCTTGATTACTGTAGCTTTGTAGTGTAGTCTAAAGTCAGGGAGCCTGATTCCTCCAGCTCCGTTTT